ATATGTAAGTTATACAGTAAAGAAAAGATTAATGAGAATTAATGACTTAATTCTATTTTTTTATAATTATAATAAGCTGATATATTTGCTGCTAATGTATACTATTTTTTACTGATCGTTAAACTTTACAATAAAACAGCTTCATCTTGCTTGCATCAGCAAAATAAATTAAATTAAATTAAAGTAGAAAAAGTCCATTTCAGGACTTGGGCCCCATGGCTGGAGTTGTGTAGGGCCCCCAAATCACTGAATCCACCCCTGGTATGATGACAGACGAATATATACAATATCTAGAAGTTTTTAGCTAAAAGTCTTTGAATATGCAGTGTCATGATGTCAGTTTTTGTCAATGCACAGCTGGAATTTGAACAGTTTCCCGACTGCCTAAAATATGCAGGAAATCTGTGCATATTAGAAATAAAAACATGAGCTCCACAAAAATGTGCGAGATTTGCTTGATTTTGTGATTATGGAATCGCTAAATCCTCTGGGCCCAGATTTTAAAAAGTAATCTAGTGGGATGTAGGATCAAGGATTGGATCAAATTTTTTACTAAATGAGTTTTTTTAAAAGTTACAGGCGGGTGTTGAATTGAGATCAGACCATGTAATCCAATCTTACATTTAATTTAGATCAAACCTGTCCAGTGGGTTATTCAAAACTTTGAACTCAGATTGGGATCTATTTGATCCAAAAAAAAAAAAAAAAAACAGGATTATCCTGGTCCCATCAGAAGGGTGGATTCAGTTGTGATTTTTTGAACCAAATAAAATAAAAAACTGAATGGTCACAATCTTAATGTTTACTGATGATTTATAAATTCATATTTGAAGCTTGAAGCAAGTCACAACTAATGAGATATGGTAAACAACAATAACAAAATAATATCAAAGCATTATTGTATTAGAACAGACTAAAAATGTCAAATGTTTGTTGATTGCAGTGTTTCTGTTTCTTACCATTAAAACAAACAATGACTGTTTGTGGCCACTGGTATTTTGCCTATAGTAGGCTACACTGTTTGTTCCACTGAAGGCTCTGGTAAAGCTGGATTCATACTTTCGCCTGGTGCCGCACCACACACCTCCGCTGACTGTGCGTGCCGTGCACCTCACAAAACGGACGAGGCTTTTATGCTTGCCGCATTCGCCGTTGTGATATTCTTTAAAACGACAGGGGGTGGTCAAAAGAAACCCACTGTAAAATCAGACGTATAAACAGAGAAGTAGGAAGTTTACCGAACTACGTCACATCATTAATATCATTCTATCATTCAATATTTTAAACAAATTATTTTTATTGATTTTATTAATTATTTTAATGATTATAAGGATTTTAATAACTATTCAAGATTTTTTTTAATCAAACTTTGATGCATTACTTTCTTTTGTTCATATCTCGGACAGTTTTACGTTTTAAAGTTTTAAAAATATTTTCAGACAACAGAACATAAGCTGCTCTACAAATATATATTATATTATGGCAAGAATAAAACCAAAAAAAAGTACACTTACTAAATAAAATACAGATGTTTAATTAGATTTAGCCTGCTTCACAGTTCACACATTACTGTCCGGCTAGTTTCTGTCCTATACTTATGCTAAAAATGCAATAATAGTCCAACATTCCTGACCATTATCACCAATATAGCCCAGAAAAACAGGCCATCAGTATATTGTAAACCGATAGAATCAAATACTCCTTCCCAGTTATCACAGAAATAATTCTGTGACTTCATTATAGTTTTGTAATTATTAAATTGTTTTAAATTCAAAATTGCTATATATACCTCAGTGTAAAACCTATGGTGGTAAAACATATTCTGTAATTGTGTACACAGGTCTCCACTTCTGCCATGACCTATTTTGGTCTTAACAAACTAATCCTTCAGGTTTTTCTAAACCTTTTAACAAAAACTTCTGCTTTCCCACGGCTGTTGCAATTTCTAGCCAAGAATTATTGTTCATCTGGTTATCTCTATGATTACGGATCATAAAGATGTCTCAGGCAAAATCTCTTCAAAGTGTTTTATATTTAACTCAAATCAAACGCGGCACCGCGTGAACTGTTGGCTCGAGTCTTAAAAATGCTGTGCGCACTGCTAGCCGAAATCATGTTGATCACACCCAAAGCGAACATCTGCAAACTCTATGATGATGTCACATTCGCTGCACGCACCCAAGCGAACAAGCGGGCGCATCGAGTATAAGCCAGGCTTAAACAGGATTTGGTAATGCTGAAATTTCGTATTTGGATCACAGTAATCCAACCCAATGTTCCTTTAAAAAAACTATCATAAAAGTAAGATAGATCTGTTAATCCTGAATAGCAAAACATAGGATTTTGTAATCTGCACCAATTTTATCCAGATAATTTTTTTTTTTAAACTGGGCCCTGGTAATTAAATCATGCAAGTTCACAGAAAATATAGTTTGAACTCTAAAATAGAGCAGCAAAAATGTTTTCATTAAATCATTTTCGTAAGTGGATTAAGCATTGGTTATGACCTCACACTGTTGCTGGCCGGAAAACTTACAATTGATTAATAGCATTATTTTTCACTCATAATTCATGTGCTTGGAGTTCAGAGTTTGGGGAATACCTAACTGTGACAAAAGCTCAACTCTTTTCTGAATTTCAGAAATAATCTTCTTGTATGTAATTAGCGTGTTAGCTTGACAAAGTGCTGTTTTTAAAGTATGCCACATTATATTATGATGAATGAAGTTAAATCATTAAAAAGAGTCACTGGGCAATACATGTAAATGATTCATTCATCTTAGTTCTTCTGATAGTTTCCCACATTTTTACTCAGAATTGCATGATTAAAAATAAATAAAAAAATAGAATTACAATTATGGATCTTATTGGTGTAAGAAATCAAATAATAGGTAAAACTAAAATTAATAAAAATTCCACTATACCAGTATGCACTCACCGGCCACTTTATTAGGTACACCTGTCCAATTGCTTGTTACTACAAATTCCTAATCAGCCAATCACAAGGTAGCAACTCAATGGGTTTAGGCATGTAGACGTGGTCAAGACGATCTGCTGCAGTTCAAACCGATTATCAGAATGGGGAAGAAAGGTGATTTCAGTGACTTGAACATGGCATGGTTGTTGGTGCCAGATTGGCTGGTCTGAGTATTTCAGAAACTGCTGATCTACTGGGATTTTCATGCACAACTATCTCTAGGGTTTACAGAGAATGGTTTGAAAAAGAGAAAATATCCAGTGAGTGGTGGTTCTGTAGGTGCAAACGCCTTGTTAATGCCAGAGAATTTGACCCCAACAACATGAAACCATGGATCCGTCCTGCGTTGTATCAACAGTTCAGGTTGCTGGTGGTGGTGTAATGGTGTAGGGGATATTTTTTGTCAGACTATGGGCCCTCTGTATTGCTGTCATGTAAATATGTACCACAGATCTCTGAGGAGTATTTCCAGTACCTTGTTGAATCTATGCCACAAATTATTAAAGCAGTTCTGAAGGCAAAAGTGGGTCCAACCCGCTACTAGTAGCTCAGAAGAAAGAGAACTACAAAACAATAATTAAACCAGTTAAAAAAAAACTAGATGTCAAGCCTTAGCGAACTCTGTGACAATTAAATGAATTAACAAATCTTTAAACTCCCATTTAATACAACTCAACACAATCATCTATAACAGGGGTGTCAAATCTAGTTCTTGGAGGGCCATAGTTCTGCACAGTTTAGTTCCAACCCTGCTTCAACAAACTTACCTGTAGGTTTCAAACAAACTTCAAGGACTCAAGGCTGTTTAATTAGGGTTCAAGCTAAACTGCAGAGCTGCGGCCCTCCAGAAACTGGATTTGACACGTGTGACCTATAATGACACTGATGCACTGATCTTGATTTTTCATGACTGACTGTGACTATTTAATAGAAAACTGGCAGATTCCATATTTTAGAATTTTAGAAATCAGAAAACTACCAATAAAATGAGGAACATATTTTTTAATATGCTTTATCG